TCTTATTAACCGCACGTGATTTTGTGAGCAGAAAGGATATCTCCTTCCCAACGACTTGTTCTTCTTCGTTCAAATCTGGTCGCGATTCTACGGGGAGGACTATTCCGCACGTTCTCCACCTCGTTTTCTCGCATATTCTCGACCAAAGAAGAGAGAAATTCTTCTCCATCTTTCAGATTCTCTCTTGCTCAGTTTTTAAAATAAATCGCCACCTGCACCCTTATTCTCCGGCGAGTCATCCAGCAGAGCCGCCGTCGACCACCGTCCTTGAGGTAGAAGCCGTCAGCTTCAATTAAACCTTGGTACTGTTCGTGAGTAGCACTTTTGAGAGAGTCCGAGTACCGTTCGTTCGACCTAACCGTTCTTTCGATAAAATTCATAGATTTCCAAAGACGGGTAATCCTTTCGAACCATTCTATTTTACTGTTCGTGCTGTTGTATTTCTGGAATTAATTAATCGATTATCGTATATTTGGTTGGTTTGTTTATTCGTTATTTATTTCGTATATTCGTGAAATTTCGTGGATTATGGGAAATCCTGTTTATCGTATTAATTGAGTCCCGATACTGTTGTGTTGAATTCGTGTGATTTTGGTGTCTCGTTTTGTCTTTTCGAACCTTGCCGTCGTCGTTGGGTCATTTGTTTGTTTTTGAACATGTCGTTTTGACTTTCGACCCTTTAGACCCGGCTTTAAATGGTTTTCGAAACTTTGTAAGTGTATTATTTTTGTAGACGGTTTACATTCTTGACCCGGTTGCTGTTGGAAGTGTGGTTATCGATTCCGTCAAAAGTTTTGTAATAACCTCTGTTCTGAGAATTCCCAGTGATTCTGTTGGTTTTGCTGTAGGAAACGTTTTAACATTCAGTATATTAATAGTTCAAACATAATCCCAACCCGACGTGTAGCGCAGCGGTCTACGTCCTCTGTTATGTGAAGTAGGTCCTGGGTTCGAATCTCTCTCTTGTAGAATTTTATTTTTTTCGCCCAGTGTAGCTGTGGTTAAGTGCGCGGGCCGAATGGCCCTAAGTGAGCCCGTGCGCGGCCCGGTTACCTCACAACTGCTGGCCCCTGAAGCCCAATACCCAGCCCACGAACATCCCTTTCTCCAGCTGGGCCAGACTTCATGCTGCAGCCCAAATTGTGCGAGTTCGTGGCCCAATTCGCGTGGCAAAGGCCCAAATTTTGGACAGCTTGTGCAATCCATTATTTCAAGCGAATTTTGTGTCCGGAGACCGTTTTTATTACCGATTTCAATTTTAAAAATTATTTTCAAATGAGAAAATTTGGGAAAAAATATTTTAAGTCCCAAGACCCCATTTTTGTTCTCCGAGTCCTATTTTTTCAAAAATGAGATAGTTTCAAGTCCACGAAAAATCCGATTAAAACCCTTAAGTCTTAATTTTTATTAAGTATGGGTTTTATGTAATATTAGAGTAGTGAGATAGGTTATAGATATATTATCTCGCTCAAATGTAGGTGTTTGAGGAGTCGAGCCCTCATCCTACGTACTTGCTTTTGTGTGCAATTTTCTACCGAAATTTCCAGGTGGGTTTTGAAAAATTGGCTATGCTGTAAATGTTATATATTGTTATTACTGTTTTACTTGTGGTATGATCAAAGTATGCCTATGGAACATATAGCCTCCGATGTGAGCTGTACCGGTCGTCGAACGGTTATCCCTGTAATTGTAAAGTGAAACCCGTGGGGTTTACTCCTACTGCTGGCATCGATAGAAGCCCGTAGGGCATTTGGTGTAGAAGCCCGAGGGGCATTAGACGTATAAGCCCAAGGGTAATTCGATAAAAGCCCATGGGGCATTCGATACGTCTACCAGCAGTAGTCTATTGATA